ATGCAGTATAGGCAGCATTAATAAATTGACGGATACGATGTATTATGAATGATGACCTCATAATCGTAAAAAAGCTCATAATTAGCAACTTTTTAAAACCGAAAACTACCCTTTATTTGAGTATAAAATTTAAAGAAGGCGTAATTGGCTATCAAACAAGTACAATTTATTTTTTTTCGTGTACGGTTACCATAAAATATATTTGAATTTATAAAGGCAGTCAAAATAAATTATTAAAAGGCGTACTACTTAAGTCGCCAGTTTTTACAATAGATACGTTTGCTAGTGGTCAGAAAGAATCTCATTTAAAAGCCCGCACCTTATCATGACGGAAGTGACTTTAGAATAGACTACACGATAATCAGTATCACAACTTGAATCAGTGCCGATTAGCGAAAGAGTATCAATCTTTCGCAGATGTGGACATGTTGCGTGATCTTTGGCGACTACTGTATATTCCCCCGCCCAAATATAGTTAAACATTTAATCCTTGGCTAAAAATTGTAAATGTATTTGTAATTGTGTCGATTGTAACCAAAGAAAATTAAATTGAAGCCCTTTGTAGTTCTTTTAGTGAGCTACATAGAATCGACTCCATCAACATAAACTCCTGCTGCTAAGGCAACTGATGCCTGTCGACGGAAATTTTTATCTTATATTGGCGGACTTTAACGATTAAGGGGAAAGTCGGGCTACTGTTAAATGTAAAATAAGATTATTATTATTTTAAGTCAAAGGTATGTAGGACTTCTAAAGGCAGTTCTACCAAATTCTTAATAAAAACTAAGGTGCAAAACTCACAAAATTTTCAAACTGTATTCGTTCCTGTTGTCGCCACCTGTTTAGGGTTGAGTGGTAAGGCCTATGAACAGCGACGTTGGCGGCAGGCCAGTCTGCCTTTCGGTAGCTCGACATCTGCTCGTTGTAGTCCCTTAACATGTTCTCCATCAGATGATCTTCGTCGCTAGGCAAAGGGCGTGAGTTGGGATCACGCCAGGGTGGACGCAGATGCCGAAGCTTTCCACTTTTACTCAGATCTTTGAGGGCCAAAGCTAGCTGCCGGACACTCATCTGCTCCGACTCCAAAGACTCCTGCTGCCCGTTGGGGCTGACCGAACCGTGCTGGAAGGATGCATCAGATGTCCGTCTTTCAGCGTCTATCTGAGTTCTTTCCCCTACGGCTACCTCATCCCATGCGTGCTGACTGTCGTATCCGCGTGAAGGCAAATGGACCTGTTGCCCAGAGGACGCTGATGTCCCTCCAAGTTGAGGGGATGCTGTGCTAGAGGGGTCGATAGAAGCAGATCGTACGCATTCTAGGGGCTCTTCGAGGAAGCTGGCATTGTCGCCGCAGGGTGAAGTGTGTCCTTTCTCCTCGATGGTCGGAAAAGCCAATGAAGTTGGCTTATCGTGTTTGAGAGTTAGGCCCTCGCCTTCGTTCCGCGCTCTCTCTTTGTCATCACCATATTGGTTGGTCGGCTCAGAGAGCGTGCGGGTGATTGAAATGAGGCCCTCGGGAGTGGGCACTCTAACTTCCACCCCGTGTTTCAGTTGGTTGCCAGAGTGTAGAGGGCTGGGTGGTTGAGAAGAATCGGCCTCATTTTGTGTGTTGATTTGAGTTGGTGCCCCCTTGTCGTGGTGGTTTTCAGTCATTGATCCAAAACTTTAGAAGAGGCAAATGGGCATTAAAGTAGAAAATAACTAACTAAGCAACACATCGTGTTAGTTATTAACATGGTTTGGTAAATATTATTAAGTAGCGGCTTCCTTTCGATTACACGGAACCTTTTCTCTTCCACTTTTCTTAAAATCGTGTGCCATATGTATGACCTCTTTCTTATTCACTGCCACTTTAAATAACAAGACCATCTATCTAAGCGCAATTAACAAGTGCGTGAACGGACATCCAATATAACAACTGTTTGTCATAGCAAAATGTCCGTTCTTTGCTTGAGGTTGAATGCAGATAGGTCACTTGCTTCACTCATGCAAGTATGAAAACACCGCTAACTGTTTATGAATATTCTAAAAAATCGTCCGTTCTTCGATTATGCAATGCACCAAGTCAGCTTTTTCAACTTTGAAGTTTCGCCAACCGAAAAATAAGCTAGATATATACCTCTAACAAGTTACTTGTCGAAATTCCAAGTCTTAAGGAAAGGAAGGATGCAAGGCTCAAGCTTTGGGAAGACTTCAACACGCGACATTTCGATAGGTATTTGCACGAATATTAATTTTACATAGGATGCGGATATACTAAGTATTGTACATTGTGACGCCGTATAAAATCTGTGTACTTTCGTTTGAAGGAGACACCGTCAGATCCAACATTTATCGAAAAAAATTATAATGTTTTTTATCAAAGGATGAAGGCATATCAATGACAATAAGAAGACTTTACTTTTCCTATTAATTTTCATGCAATAAATCCGCAATGACTGTGGTATCATACGTAAGCAAGTCAAGCAAAGCAGATAAGTTGCAGGACAGTTATGAGTATGTCGACAACATAGTGACCGAAAAGACAATTATTCGGACGATAAATTACAGAGCTTTCAGAATCAGACGATTTGTGGATTCACCGGAAGATCAGCACTCCTTTTGATTATAATGAGTACAATCCAGAGAACTTACGAGGTCGAGTATAGCCCGTAGTGCAGTCTCTAGGAGACTAAGATAAGCAAGATGTCTCAAGAAGCTCCAAGGTCTGTTTTCACTCAAGAACAGATATACCATTTTTAATCAAATAAAAATGTGTCTGCAGACACAGAAACGCCATAAATAGCAAATTAATGGACAATATTGACGTCATTGTGGCATAAGTGGCACAATGCAGAGGTATTTTATGAAAACGTTTGAGGACTTTGTTTGCACAATTTTTATAGAACCCAGGTAGCTCCGGCTCTCTGCTGACAAATGCTGATTAAGAATATACCCAGTTCTGAAAAACAATCGGGACTACTGGTAACTGCGTTCGCAAGTGGTAGATAGTTTGACATAGGCTATCTTCAGTTAATAGCAACATTTTCTTGGCCAAGTTTCAACATAAGGGCAGCGCTAGCATGTCTAATTTTGCCAACAATACCCAATATTTGAACAAGGCAAAGACCACGGGGCTAGCAGAACTTAATGACTTCTTGCAATTTTGTGACCTTTTATTCACCTGCATATGGTCATTGCCTAATTATAATAGAAAATTAACTGTCCAAGTACTTATCGACCTAGAACTTTGTAAGCAGCTGGATGACGTTATCCACCTCGCATTACCTTGGTAACGATCGATAAGGTACGTAAGCTCATTCCCTCTCTTGTCCTTTCATGCACTTTCCCATTCTCGCATGACCGACTGCTGTTCTGCACTTTGCCCGCACCCCTTTTTTCTATCAGGCTTGACGGACTTCCGCTGTAATATGAACTGTCTTGCTTCAATAATTGCCTCCTCTCCCCTTTTCCTCCTCACCATACATCTCTGCATCGAAAACCAATAGCTCCCTTTCTATTTGCCTATCACGTTTCAGTCTTTTGGGTCGATAATTAATTGTACAGTTTATGTAATCTTATTACTAAGTAATGACCGTATGCAGTTGAATAAGAGGTCATGAAATTGCATAACGTCATTAAATTCTACTAGTCTCGTAGTCTTTGCCTTGTTCAAATTTCTTCCGGGAAAATAATGCCTCAATACGAATATTCTTATTTAAATCGAAATGCACCTGCAAATTATCAAACACATTGTTGTGCGTGTTATGTATGTCAGAAATAACAATATTTTCACGAAATCCTACGTGACTAGAGAGGACTGGGTGGGGTTAGTGCTGGAAGGCCATGAAATACTTCTTGCAACAAGCTTAAGGAGAAATAAATTTGTCAAAACATCAAAAAATCCTTATGAATCAAGACCACAACAGCACTCATTGCCTAGGCGAATAAACAGCAAGGGTTATATAGTTCGAAATCTTGCCACTAAATATATTTCCCAAGGGAATAAGATACATATAGATTGTATTAATATGCTCTACACTCAAATGTGGAGAATCAATAATGCTGAACTTTCTTGACTTCCTTCATTGCGTGTCATTAATTAAAACATACCGGTTTATTTGTTTTGGTTGCGCATTTGTCTGGCTTGTCGAGCAGCTGTCGTTTTTTATATGTCCTTATAAGGAGAAATGCGTCAACTTTTCAAGTTTATTATTATAGATCTTTCTTTTACCTTAATTACTAGTAGTGTTGCGACTGTTAAAGCCTCTAGGAAAATTTTATTAGCTCAATTTCACGTTAACGTGAAATTAACAAACGCAAATTTCAAAAATACGTATTTGACTGCTTATTCTCAACATAATGTAACCACCAAAATTTACACATCCATATTTAGAGGCATTTGCAACAAATATTAAAAACTGGCCGGCTTTCACCAAGGTTTTCCATATAAACATCATCAAATATTTAACATGTGTTTTGTGTATTTTTTATTAGAATTTGTCTTTGAGTCGCCTACTCACGCTTGGTTTAGGCGATTCGATTTCCCCGTTTCATAGTCGTCATCAAAAAATGTAAAGTCTACAACGCCCGATTGATTTTCATCAAAATTATTGCCGAAATGGGGCATTGGGGCATTTGTTAAAGCCTGTAACGCTGCAAACCCTTTAACTAGCCAATCATTGTTCAGTCTGATTTAGGCCCCCGCGATTGCTCATGTGTCTCACATGAAAATCCGCACGTATGCTCTACCCGATAAACATTGGAATACTAAGGAAGTCTTTTTTATTATTTGTAATATCCCTGAATCTTGCTTGCGCATTGGTTAACTAGACAGAGATTCAAGCTTATGGGATTTATTTTTACACGCTACCTTTTAGCCTTCTATATTTTCGGGATCTGAAGACAATTTAAAATAATCGAAAAATGTTTTTCCCATTCATTTTCTTCACTGTAAAAACGTTTTTACTCACGTAGTACTTTATCCATTTCTCTGATACCGTCATCGAATTACTGTTGTGTTGCTGCTTTAAATTTTAACGCTATTTTGCGTTACTTTCAGCCGCTGTTTTTTTAATGCAACTGTTATTTGTATTCCTGCTAGCTATTTTACCCCTACCCCTTGGCCTTCTAACTTTCCATCTCTTTTTATCAGATAGACAGATTTTGTCAGGAGGGTAATCCGGTAAACGGTCGTTTATGATCGCGCATCTTCCTTTTCTGTTTACTTGATTGGCTTGCATGGGCTTCCGGTACCACCGTAAATCAGTGACGCATATTATGAGCATTTCGTTTCGCTGTTTCCCTATTTAGGTGAATCCTTGTGGGCATCTGAATTTAAGCATAAATATCGGATTTTATTGCGGTTCATTGTGTCAAAAGCTCGTGGAATATTCACGAACATGGTGCAATTACTATTTAACACTTCTGGACAGTTTTCTGGAAGGCATGAGGCAGGAAAGTAACCTTTTTTGTCTTACGGTGCTCCCGGAATCTAAGATGTGTTTTTGGAGGAAATTCCCACCCCCAGATACGGTTATAGCAAATTTAGTAACCTGTAGTATCAATACCAATATATTTGAGGGAAATCTAGGTGGGTTGCCGTTGAGTTCCCTACAATGCAAAACTTTCTAGCGATCCTAAGAAAACAGACTCCTTTGTGATTAGCGGTGGGCTTTGGTCTTACTTTCAGTCACTTGCACAAACAATGATTGAATCCCCGAAAATGTGGACTGTATATATGTAGACCCATCTTCCACTGCAATTAGACGGTCTTCTATACGATGGGCAAGCAAATGTAATTGTAAGTTGCGGCATCCAATGCTTTTCTACCGGACAGCTGCTGTACATATTTGGTATTTTCCTTCGGCGAAAACGACAGTTTGAAGTCTCCACCAGCGGAAGCATGTGGAAGTCACTTGGATGTTGCAGCTGATTTTCTAGAAGGATTAGTGAGAACAGTTCTGAACTGGTAGATCTCGCGATCCCGTATTGGTGAATTCTTC